CTCAGGTGTAGAAGATATGATGGAAGAAATCGATACATCAGTCAAAGAAAATATTAAAGCTGAAAAATTCCTGACACAAAACATCCAGAAAATCCGGGGTACTATGAAAAGGCCTAATCTACCTCAACACCCAGCTGTACCACTCCTGGGCATATACCTGAAAGATGCTCCACCACACAAGGACATTTGCTCAACTATGTTCATAGCAGCTTTATTTGTAATAGCCACAATCTGGAAACAACCTAGACCAAACAAACCCTCAGCCAAAGAGTGGATACAGAAGTTGTGGTGCATTTACACAATGGACTACTACTCAGCTATTAGAAACAAGGAAATCATGAAATTTGCAGGCAAATGGAAGGAACTAGTAAAGATCATCCTGAGTGAGGTAACCTACTCTCTTATAAGCGGTATTTACCATATACTACAGGATAACCATACTACAACCCAAAGACCTAAAGAAGCTAAACACCAAGGAGGACCCTGGGAGGGTTCTTAGTCTCCTGCAGAAGGGCATATAGAATAGACACTGGAAGCAGTTGAAGGGGAGGGGAAAGTCAGGAGCCTACCCCTAGAGGTACTCTGAAAGACTCCACCCAGCAGGGGATCAAAGCAGATGCTGAGACTCACAGCCAAACTCTGGACAGAGTGCAAAGAGTCTATGAAAGAGTGGGGGAATAGAAAGATCAGGAGAGAAAAGGAGCTAAATACAGAGACCAACAAAGCCAACAAATCTGGACCCATGGGTGGGCCTGCAGAGATCGATGCACCAACCAAAGACTATGCATGGAGAGGACCTAGACCCCTTGCTCAGATGTAGCCCATAGCTCAGTACATGTAGCTCAGTTTCCATGTGGGTGCCCGAGTAAGGGGAGAAGGGGCTGTCTCTGACATGGACCCTTTTGCCCACTCTTCGATCACTTCCTACTGCCAGGGTGGCCTTGCCAGGCCATAGAGGAAAAAGATCCAGACAGTCCTGAATAGGCTGGGTCAGATGGTAGGGGAGGAAGGCTCCCCCTTTCTGAGGACTAGGGAAGGGGGATTGAGTGGAAGACTGAGGGAGGGTGGGACGAGGAGGAGATGAGGGAGGGGCTACAATCAGGATATAAAGTGAATAAATTATTAAAAATAAATTTTAATTCATTTAATTTACTTAATTATTGTTTTTGCAATATCAAAATAAAGTCCAATTTTAAGAGTGAAGTCACAGAGTATAACCATAATTTTTATAAGACAAAACAAAATTTTAACAGTGTAAACAGTCTCCAAAATCAATACCAAGTCTATTATTTTAATGTTACAAAGTTTGGCTGCCAGCAAGAAAAGTTCTTGTATGTGAACACACGGAAGTGCAGTTTTAATGCCTTATTAATTATGAATGGTTTTAAATCTCATTTTTTATAAACATGATTTTTTAAGACAGGACAAAAATTATGTAAAATCTTATTTCAATTTAAAAGTGCCTTTGGAGGCCTTTTTTCAGTTAGCTCATGCCATTTGTTATGAGTTTAAGTTAACTTTTTGTTACAGATGTTAGAGATTTTTACCATGTCAAATGACTTATAAGCCAATAACCAACATATACAAAACATAGTGAATGTATACATTTAGACCAGTCAGAAACAAACATTTAGTGGCCCTATACATTTATATATCTAAAACAGACAAAACTTTTCTTACTTTTTTAGCTGTAATTTCAAGGGAGGGGCTGAATCCAACTCTCATGGGCACAGAGGTCTTGTAGCAGGACTAGCCTTCAGCTTCTTTACCAGAGAAAATGAGAAGCTGCTGGTAGCCCCGTAACAGCCCTGGGCTTGCTGCCAGCTAGGTCCAGAGAGGAGACTCCCAGCTACAAGTGCAGGCCTCCAAGGGAAGAGCCAGGCTATCACTTTGTGCTGCCTCAATTCAGCTGCCTTCCTCCCCACCCCACCCCCGTGAAAAATCTTTGAAATAAGTTAAAACTGAGTCAAAAGAGAAAGCAAACGACCAGCAGATGAGGTTTGGCCGTTTTCACAGAATATGAAACAAAGACCAACAGTCGAGCAATCAAACAAAACTACAGGCATAAATTGGCCAACGTGGGACAGACGCTGACAAAACCAAGTTTCAAAGACAGAGCTGTATGTGGCGACTCTTGGATGAGGGTCCCAGTCAAGTTCGAAGTGATGGATCATAATCCTCTCTCTTTCACCAAATGGAGAATCGGGGAGCGCCCTGCCTCCAGACTTAAAGAGTAACGCCATGTCCAGTGCCTCAGTTTTCAGTCTCCGAAGGTCTAGACCATACCAGAAACAAAACAGAAACCAACAAAAGCTTACCTCCTTATGGAGGAACCAGCCGTTGGTGGCATTCACTTATCAACCCGAGAGGTAGATGAATGTAGAGGGCAATCTCAGTGGAACCTCCAAATGTTGCAGCCCAAGAAGAGCTTCACAAACCACTTGAGCACTTATCTCAGGGTGATATTGATGGTTTATTGAACACCCCAAAGCTGACCATGATAAGGGCACAATCCGGGCTCAGGAGCTAGATTATGACATTGACCTGTTTTGCAGAGGCAGGTTATAAAGGCAAAACTGCAATTAGTCTAGACATAGGCCCCCTTCACATATCTACCCAATGGGTATCTCAGTCCTCATGTGGGTCCCTTCATAAGGGGAGTTGGGACTGTCTCCTACAAGGACTCTGTATGATTTCCAATCACTTTCCCTTGGCATGGCTGCATTGCCAGGCCACTGTGGGAGATCATGTGCACAGTCATATGTGACTTGATGTGCTGGGATGGGTATCCCCCCTCCTCTGCCACCCTTTTCCGAGTGGTAAGGGAGAAGGGATAGGGAGAAAAGAAAGTGAGGGCAGCACAGGGAAGAGAGGAGAGAGAGGTCTATGATTGGGATGTAAAGTGAATAAATAAATTAATTTTTAATTTTTATTTCATATAAGTTTATGTACTTTACATCTCAAGAGTGTCCCCTCCCTCCTCTCCTCCAAGTTCCCCCTCTCCCTTTCTCTCCAGAAAAGGGAAGCCTTCCTCACCTCATATCAACCCTCCCCAGCACATCAAGTCACATCAGGACTGAGCATATCCTCATCCAATGAGGCCAGGCAAGGCAGCCCTGCCAGGGGGAAGTGATACAAAAGCAGGCAAATTTCAAAAAGAAAGAAAGTAAAAAAAGTTACTCTGGTTTCTATATATAGCAAAATCAAAAGTGAAGATGGAATAGCCACATTAAGTACAAACAGTCAGAATGTCTAATTTAACCGCTGCATGTTTTCAGGTTGCAGAATGAAGCATAACCAGAATATATGTTGCCTACAAAAATATATACTTAAAATATAGAAATAAATTATACAGAAAGGAAAATGATAAAACAATTGCCACACTGACAGTCAAATGAAAGCTGAAGAAACTTTTTAAAATTGAAGTGTCAATCTCAGACTGGAAGTTAGCATCATAAATAAAGAAACTTACTTATTGAAAAAAAATGTTAAGATGTTAGAAATAGTCAGTCTGACAGAAAAACCCAAAATATTCATGTGCCTAGCCAAGAGGACTTTTAATCACATGAAGAAAAAAATGATATAATTACAAGACAAAGTTTATTGCAATTTATTACAGTTGATTAAGTCCTCTCAGTAAGAAACAAAACAAGGAGACAGACATCAACAAAGACTAACAGCCTCCAGACGAGTGAAACCTCCATGGTGCATGCCCCCACACAATCATGGAAGAATACAGGATCTTTCTGATATCCCTTGGTAATTTTATCTCATACTAGGCCATAAAAATCTCAACAAGTTACAAAGGATATAAGTTATATATAGTAGAGTGCAGAATTAAAGTCAACTGGAAGTGTCAGTGATTACATGCTGAGCCAGGGTCCCCTGATACAGTCAGTGAGAAAGGAAAACCAGGCCAGAGTGGAGGGGATATACTACAAGCAATCAGACTTTTTATATCCTTATCAGAAACAGAACATACTGGCAGTTTCCAGGAAGAACACAATTGCAGTTAGCAGGATACAATGATGATCACAAGCCATACAGGACATACAAGACTAATGTCTAAGGCTACTTGTCCTGTCGAGCTTCTCCAAGCTTCACTGACTTCTAGGGAACATAGAGAAAGAGACAGTGGCCTGAATGCTTCACTGCCCCAGGGAGTGACTCAGTTTCTCAGGAACTGAAAGGCACGTGGTGCCCCTGGAGCCACAGACCCTAACCTGAAAAACCTATGACACATGCCTCTCAAGCCAGCTAGGCCACCAACTCTGTGATTCCCCACAGTCAGTAACAGAGCCAGCTGCGAGTTACCTCAACATTTAGAAATTAAGTAATACCTTCCTAAGTCAAACATCAAAGAAGAATTCAAAATGGGTGTTAATGACCGTGAAAGCAGAGCAGAGGTGTAAAGTAGTAGTTAGGGGTAGTTTCTAAGGCCTCTGTAGTAAGCAACAGTGTAGACCAGCCAGTGTCACTCCAAGAAAGCCTCTCGGGAGCTGTGCAGGAGTTGGGCATGATTAGACTTCAGATTCTGAGCCTCTTTCTATCAGTGAACATAGGTGGTGATAAAAAGCAGTTAGAAATTCCATTCACTGTTCTGGGAGTATGAAAAGTAAAACCTGGATGAAAACGTTGTTCCAAAACTCAGCACCCACACACCCTGAGGCCACTGTAGGGTCATTCACAGTCACTTACCAGAGAGAAAGGAAACCATGGAAGAGGACTTGTACACAGTTCTTTATGGAAGCAGCATAATAAAATGTGTTAAAGTCATAGAATCCAGTGCTCGCCAAAAACAGAAAAGAATGAAGTACTGGTTACATGGGGACAGGAATGAATCATTAAAATATTGTTGTGAGGCTGAAGAGATGGCTCAGCAGATGAGAGCATTTACTGCCTTTGCAGATGACCTGAATTCTATTCCCACACCCACATGGTGGCTCACAACGACCTGTAACTCCATTCCAGGGGGTCCAGCACCCTCTTC